TGCAGAATATTTGGTGAATTATATTGAATTGTTAGTATGATTTCTTCAGAGTTCTTAATCAGGATAAATCCTCTTTCATTTTTCAGGGTTACTGAGCTGTAGAATTAGATCTTGATGGCACTATTTATCTTCAGAGGGTAATATGACATAATGGAGATTAGCATGGACTCTGAAAGTTGAGGAACCCAAGCTCAAATAATAAGCGACTTGCAGTGCTAGAAAACACTTATATTTAACTCCACCTGTGCATGAAATGTAAATGTAGAGATCAAACTTGTTCACATATGTAACACCCAGTATAAGATGTAGAATCTTTTTCAAGATTTTAGAAGTTTCTTTCATCCCCCCTTTTTGACTACTTCCCTCAGAATTTCTTAATTTTCTGACCTTTATAATCATTGATAGTACCATCAGTTCATGAAATTCATATCAATGGGTTTTTATGATGTATTCTCATTTGTGTCTCACTTCTTTTGCTTAACATAATATCTATGAAAATAACCCTTATTGTTCTTCATATCAGGATTTTATTCTTTTTTTGTAGGTGTGTGGTATTCTGTTATTTGAATTTACTACCATTCTTCCGTTTTCCTGTAGGCATATTTGTAAGTTTTTTCTAATTTTAAAATATTATGAATAAAGGTACACTAAACATCCTTTCACATATGATTTTGAGGACCTATATGCTCATGTCTTTTGGATATATAAAAGCAGTAATTTTAATGATGCTATAGGCATATGTTTAGTTTTAGTAGATATAGTTTTGCATCCTTTTATCCAAGTTACACAACCACCTGCAGTGAATGAGAGTTCCAGATCCTGCAGATACTTGCCAATAATTAATATTATAAACCTGTTTAATTTTAGCTATTCCGTAAGTAATGGAGGAATAAATTTGAGTTTACCTGGAAAGATGATATTGAATATCATATATATTTTGAGATTTGGATAGTATTTATTAATTCTTGTTTACATTTGTGTTTTCTCTTTCCTGAGGTGCCTTGATTTTCCTCATATTGCTGAAGGATATTTTAATTGGAAATAGGACTCTGTTGACAGTTCTTCTATTTTTTGAACTTTATGGTTTCTAATGGAAAACCTATTGTCATGAGAATTACTTTTTCCTTATAGATACAGTGTTTGTCATTCAGAACTTTCAAGATTTTTTTCTTTGTTTTTATTTTTCAGAAGTTTGACTATGATGTGGGTGTTGCTGTCTTTTGGTTTATCTCATTTTGTATTTCCTCACCTTCTTAAAATTGAGGATTTCTGTCTTTTGACCAATTGGAAGAGTTTTCAGCCATTATTTCTTCAAGTAATCTTTCAGCTTCATCTCCTTTCATTTCTTCCTGGACTCCAAATGTTAGTTTTATTTATTTATTTTTGTTGTTGTTGTTATGATTCCACTGGTTCTTGTGGTTCTGATCTTTTTCTGTTGTTGTTTTCAAACTCATGTTCTCCTTATTCTCATTGGATATTTTTATTGTTATATTTTCTAGTTCCCTGAGTGTTTCCTCTGTTCCATCCATTCTGCTTTGAGCCTATTCACTGAGTAGTTAATTTGAATTATATTCTGTACTATAATTTTCATTTGGTTCTTCTTTATAGCTTCATTTTCTTTGCTGAGACTTTCTATTTACTTGTCATAACCTTCTTTTTTTCCCATTTAAGCGACTTACAGTGATTTAAGGATGTTCAAAATCACTCATGTAAAGATTGTTTTGATGGCTGCTCTAAACTTATTATCAAATAACTCTGTCATCTCTACTATCCCAGTGTTAGTATCTGTTATCTTTTTTATTCAGTTTTAGATCTTTCTGCTTGTATGAATAATTTGATAATTGAAACCTAGAAATTTTGAGCATTATGAAACTCTGGGTCTTTTTCAACCCTGTGTTATCTGGCTTTGCTTTGATACTGCTCTGGTAAGGGAAGGGTGAGATGCCACCTCATTATTTCAAGAAGAGAGTAGAAGTCCAGGTTCCCTACTTGGCCCAAGGTTTGTAGGTATGTGTGTCGGGGGAGGGGGAAGGGTATTCATTATTGTTATGAGATGGTAGGAGTTCTGACTCCCTGCTATTCTTCTGCCAATATCTCCCCATGTGAAGGGATAGGTCTACCTTGTTTCTCTTTCTTACGGTTTCCGGTTACATGACCCAGGACTGACTCCCACCAGGCACAGCCGGACCCGGGACTGACTTCCTCTCGTACTGGCTCCCACCCGGGACTGGCTCCCACCCTGCCTGGGACTGCCTCCCACCCTGCATAGCCCACCACAGCCAGGGCAGCCCAGCACTGACTTCCGGTCTGGTCGAGCCTTAGGTCGTAATGGTCTTACACCCTGGGTCTTAATTATACAGGATGATTTAACTTTGTCACAATAGCAATGAAGTCTGAGAATCTTTTTTGTTGTTTTTGTTAAGTCCGAGAATCTTGAGCATTTTCTTTACAATTTGGATATCAATTCCTGAGTCTCCTCTGTCTGCACCATTTCCAGTGTTTACCATTTCTCAAGTTTATCTTTTAATATAAGTTTATTATAGAACTGTCAGTTTTCTCTGTCATGTTATGCATTTGCACTTTGATAAAGTGTTTTATTGGTCTATCTGATTGAGTGCTGAGTTCCCATGTCATCTTGATAGTCCTCTTCTCCTTTCCTTGTAGCTAAAAGAACATTTGGAGCCACTTGGCTTTAGCAATCATTATGGAGTTGTTGATTTACTGGCTTTGGAACTGTGTGTGCATCAGCTTGAGCTAACTATATTTTAAAGAAATTGAGCCCAGCCGGCGTGGTTCAGTGGTTGAGCTCAATGGTATGAACCAGCAGGTCATGATTCGATTCCTGGTCAGGGCATATGCCTTGGTTGCGGCCTTGATCCCCAATGTGGGGTGTGCAGGAGGCAGCCAATCAATGATTCTCTTTCATCATTGATGTTTCTATCTCTCTCTCCCTCTCCCTTCCTCTCTGAAATCAATAAAAAAAATTTTTTTTTTTAAATTGAGAACCAACTCATCACTTTGGGATAAGGTAACATCACTTGATATTCATATTCCATAGAAGATCAGTGAGCTTCCAGCAACACCAATAGCACCAAACTGCTGCCTTATGATGGCCTCAGATAGAACTAACTGCTTATTGGTAAAAGGTCCATAGATATCCACTGGAATGAAGTTCATAAAGCAGAAAACACTGCAGAATAAATAGCTGGATCCTGAGGCAAAAAGAATATTATGGTTTTGGTGACTCACAGAAGTCTAATTTAATTCCTCCCAAGAATATAATATATTCAGACTTCATTATGAGTTAATATTAGACAATCTATTTGTCTTCTGTACTAAAGGATAAAGGTTTTATAGATTAGGAATTGGAAAAAATCATCTCAGGTGATTTTTTTTTTCTTCCTGCTTTATATGACATTCCTGGGAGTCATTTGGTGGTAGCTGGTCTGGTCTGGAGGTTTCAAGATGGCTTTATTTAAATGTCTGACCTCTGGCAAGTATGGAAAATTGTAGCCTAAAGGCCTCTTTATGTCATCTCTACATCAGGGTACTTGTAACATTGTGGCTCAGGCCTCCAAAAGACAGCCTTTGGAGAATCTTGACAGATTCTTGAGAAAGAATGAGTCTATAGCGCTGCATTACCACCTAAAATTGCTTTACTGGGGTTTTCTGGTATTTGCATTGAATTCTGTATATTTCCTTTTACTGCTTTTATATATTCTAAGTTGCAGAAGTTAACTTACGTCTTGGAGATCTTTTTAAAAATTTGTCCTATTTTTCATTATTGTAAAATCTTATCAATAATAGTTTAAAAATTATTAGGATAATATATTTAAATATTCATATTCTAGCCCTAGCTTGTGTGGCTAACCAGCGGTCACCAACCTTTCGGACCTCACGCACCACCAGTAGTCCACGGACCACCAGTTGGCGACCACTGGCTTAGTTGATTGAGCTTCATCCAATGCATGAGATGATTCCTACTCAGGGCACAGGCCAAGTTTTTTCAGCTAGATCCCCAGTAGGGGGTGTGCAGGAGGCAGCTAATTCATGTTTCTCATATCAATGTTTCTCCCATTCTCTCTAAAATCAATAAAAAAACAATTAAAAAAACATCTTATATACTACTTCCTAGCCTAAAGAAAACACCACCAATAAAGTTGAAGCTGGGGTAAACCCTTTCCTTTTGAGATCCTCTTCCAACCTACTTACTCCTCAGGGGTAAACACCATCCTTCATGTGGTAGTTTTCATCCCCATTAATTTCTTTGTACTTCACTTTTTTTAAAAAAATTGATTTTAGAAAGGGAAGAAGGGAAAGAGAAACATTGATGTTGAGAGAGATACAGATTTGCACATGGACTGAGGATTGAACCTGCAAACTAGGTATCTGCCCTGACTGGGAATCGAACACGCAACCAGTGTGCTGGATGACTCCAACCAACTGAGCCCACGGCCAGGGCTCTAGTGCTTTAATTTTTATTATCCTTTAGTTCATAGTATGAATATACTACATTTTTATTTATACATTTCCATTTGTGGATGTATGTTGTATCCAACTTTTTACTGTTTATATATATGTTGTTACTATGAATATCTTACTATATTTCATATTGCTCCTATCAACTTTTTTTGGGGGGGGTCTTTGTTTTTGTTAATACTCACCCGAGGATATTTTTCATGGATTTTTAGGGAGAGCGGGAGAGAGAGGGAAAGAGAGAGAAACATCGATGTGAGAGAAACACATCAATTGGTTGCCTCCTGCAAGAGCCCCAACCAGGGCCCGGGTGGGGAGGAGCCTGCAACTCAGGTAGGCGCCCTTGACTGGAATCGAACCTGGGACTCTTTGGTCCGCAGGCCAATGTTCTATCTGCTGAGACAAAGCCGCTAGGGCGCCACTTTTTTAAAAGTACATTTTCTGCTCATCTGTATATTTCTCTAGGGTGGAAGTCAGCAATCTTTTTCTGTAAAGGGCCAGATAGTGAATATCTTATATTTTGCAGTCCAAACAGTCTCTGTCACAATAACTCAATGTTGCCATTTTAGCAAGAAAGCAGTAATAGGTAATACATAAATGAGTGTGGCTGTGTGCCAGTTAAACTTTCTGTATACTGAAATTTGAATTTCTTATAACTTTCATGTGTCATAAAACATTCTTATAAAATTTTTTTTCTTTTTAAATAAGCTTTTTGTTAATCTTCACCAGTGGATATTATTTTCCACTAGAAGCCCGTTGCACGAAGATTTGCGCAATAGGCCTTCCTTCCCCTGTCTGCCGGCACCGGTTTTTCTCCGGCACCCGGGACCCAGGCCTTTGGTCTGGCCGCAGCAGAGAAGCCAAGCCTCTTCAGTCTTCAGTCTTCACTCCGTCTGGAGCCTTCAGTCTTTGCTATGCGCCTGCGTATGCAAATTAACCTCCATCTTTGTTGGGTTAATTTGCATAGTCACTCTGATTGGCTGGTGGGCATAGCAGAGTGACACCAATTTGCATGTTTCTCTTTTATTAGTGTAGATTACTTCTCAGAGAGAGTGGAAGGGAGGGGGGGGGAGAGGAAGGGAAGGAGAAGGAGAGAGACAGACAAACATCGATGTGAGAGAGACACATTGACTGGTTCCCTCTTGCACATACCCTGACCTGGGGCTGGAAGTGAACACACAACCCATTGAACCTGTGACCCTTTGGTGCACGGGCTGATGCTCTAAACACTGAGCCACCGACCAGGGCTAATTTTTTTTCTTTAACCATTTAAAAATGTAAAAGCCGCTCTTAGCTCATGGCCTTTATGAAAAGTTATTTAGTAGGCTGTACTTTGCTGACACCGATCTAGTGTTTCTTAGCAATGGAATTATTGGGTCATGTGCAATTTCATCGTCACCTAGGTATTGCTAAATTGATCTCCAAAGGTTTTTAGCAGTTTTTAAGCTTTCCTGTTTATACACATCATTACAAATTTGATAATATCTGATATTTTAGTTTATGTCAGTTTGATGGGGTTATCAGATAGTTCATTGAGTTTCTAATACTCTGGTTTATAGTGAGGGGAAATACAGAGGGTCCCAAATTTATGATGGTTCAACTTAAAATTTTTTGACTTTACGATGGCATGAAAGTGATTTGCATTCAATAGATACCATAATTTGAACTTTGAATTTTGATTGTTTCCTGGGCTGGTGACATATTCGATATTCTCTGGTGATGCTGGGCAGCAACAGTGAGCACAGCTCCTAGTTGGGCATGCAGTCACAAGAGTAAACAACTGTGTATTGGTTGTTAGATGCTTATGCCCACCTATGGACTAATATGAGTGTTCTAAGCATGTTAAAGGTAGACTAGGCTAAGCTACAATATTGGTAGGTTAGGTGCATTTTCCACATATTTTCAACTTAGAGTGGGTTTATTTGGGACATAATACCATTGTAAGTTGAGGAACAACTGTACAGCAAGTCTTTGAATAAAATTGGCTCGTTCAGTGTCATTTCATTATTATGTTGTGAAATGCTTTAGGAACTTTTTATTCTTTTTTGTGCATTTATTTGATACATGCTGGGGAGCACAATCTCAAATGTTCCTGAAACTTAACTCTTATTTATATCAGTTCGCCTATGGTAAAATTATACTATGGTTTTGTTCTGACTTTAAGTGAAAACTTACTATATTTTTATTGCTGCATTAAAATGTTCACTTTTCATTCAGTATTCAAAAAATAGTGAGTGCCAACCTAGAGTTAAACTCTATTCTATGTTCTTGGGATACATGTATAAACTAAACAAAATACCCAATGAGTTGTGTTTTAGGGTTTTGTGTGTGTGTTTCTTCTATTAATTTCTCATTCCTGTCTTCTCATTTTGTTTTTCTGGTGGAATGTTGGGACTTTTCATATACTCTGGATAGTAAATTCTGATTAAATTATATGGGTTGAACATATGTCTTATGAAATTATTATTTTTTAAATGAATAGAATAAGTTTGAAATATTTTTTATTGATTTTGGAGAGGAAGA